ACTACCGCGGCGCCTCCTGCTGGCCGCGCCACCGCCGGGCGGTCACCGCGGGACGAGGAGGCAAGAGCCCGCACAGCGCACCCCGGGCTAGTTCATTGATCCGGAGCGGGGCAAAGTTGTGGCACCACGCTACGACCCTGCACTCTTAGGTAGCCGCTTGTTCCAGGGATGCTGGACACTACCTTCCCACAGCATCCCCCTCTCCTACACGCGAGGCTGCACAGGTGTACAGCGATCCACCTTCTTCCTTCCGCCATCTGCTGTGCTGGGCCTCTGGCTCCTCGTTCCTTCTCTCGTCCCTTCCCCTTACTGGAAACGGCCTCACCCTGCGGGAAGACTCAGCCAGAACCACCTGCGAGAAGGCACCTGCAGCAGCATCCCTATCAGGCAGCCGTTTTTCTCCCTCCCCAGAGGCTGTTTTTCCCTCTCTCCAGAGAACACTGGCTGTCACTGCTCCCTCCACCCCCTGAACAACCAAGACAGCCAAACTCTCCCTCATTTCCCTTCCCATAGCATTGTATTCAAATCTCACGCCTTATACAACACCCCCCTTTTAAGACTCGTCTACAAAGGGAGTGGATAAATTAAATTAGAAAAAAGTGCCTTTCTGTCAGCAAGAGTGTGATCCTTTGTTATGACACATTTCCCAGAGACAGGCATTCGCAGAGGCAGTGACAGCTCCTTTCGCTTGGTGGTCTTAACCTTCTTGCCGCATCAGAAGAGCCTGGGAGGTTTCCAACAAAACAGTTATTTCTGTGGGATGACGCCTGTTTGTCAAACTCAAACTGTGAGCAAAACGGTAACGCCACGTGCAACTTCAGAGTAACAGTGGTGAGATCCACAAATCTGCAGTTTGGACAGCCAGGATGCCCGGTCTGGAAGTAGGCGTTCCAGGTTGGGTGAGCCCTTCACCCAGTGCCTTATCCCCACCTCCACGGCCCCCAGATGCCCATTTCCTCAGGATGTGACATCCCCGTGCTCTCCGGGCAGCCTGAACTGCTCCGAGGTGTGGCAGTGGTGACCCGACGCAAGGCAGTGCCCTGAAGGAGCTCATTTTCCCCAGAGCAGCTACCCGGTAAGCCATGACACGCAGCACTACATCATTTCTTTGCAAGATTTTGTAAAAGATATAATATGCCATACTCTTCCCAGAGTTTAAGACTGACCTTACAAGACACTCTGCGGGGAACAAATGGTGTTTGTCCAAAGCTGTCCTAATGCGTTTATTCAGAATTTCAAGAATTACCATTCCACATGCCATTACAGGTCCAGATCAAGCTTAAGCCTAGTTCTGTCCACTGCATACAGACCTGTGTGAGAAAAAACTGTGCAGTGTGATAAGCATAGATAAGATACAGGTACTTTAGGAAGACAAGTTTGGTCATGTGTTGTCATGTGTGTGTCCCAATAAAGTAACTCCTATTATATAGAGCTATATCCTGCCTAATTCAGATGAGAATTAGCAAATACCAGTGAAACTTTTCTGTAAGTCAGGAGAAATACACAGACCTAATAGCAATTAAAAAACCCCACGACACTATTTTAATCACAATAGAGAAAGGCACAGGTATTAAGTCATCCAAGTGAATTAAACCCTTTTAGAAAAATATATTCATACATTTTCACACTTCATGGGCAACACGATTTATGTATGAAACCCATTATCATAATTATCCGGTTATTCCTTTAAAAAAGTTTATAATTTTTCTCTAAAAATACAGATATTTCACAGAATGCTAAATAAAGATTCATAATTTAAAAGCTTCAGTCCAACTCTACCCCAAAATAATCACCTCCTGAGAGTAAAAAGCACAGCACGCTGCACAGTTAAATATGCTGACTTAAGATTCACCATAGTGTATGACTGCTTTACATTTTAATGTTCTATATTCTGTTAATACATGTTAGGGCCACACCTCATGTGGGAGGAAGTTGCTTTTGCAATCCTTTTGTAGTATTTACTGTTGATAGGCAACACTTCTGGCGGGGAGTGAAGATATGATTGTTCCATTGTGAAGGTGTAACTTTTTTACGCAGCCGTATGGCATTTTACCATTTGGAATATCTGACTCTCTGTCCAGTGCCATTGTGGCTAAGAATAATGACCAAAGCTTTTCTATGAAGGGCTTTGAATTTCCAGGTTGTCCTTATACTGGTATACTTTTCTGGTAAAGTAGATGTCACCAGGAAAAAAAAAAAAGAAATAAAAAGACAGGTTAAGCCCTTTTTCTCTCAAAAGCGGCTCAGCTCTGTACAGTAAAGACATCGGCTAGCACACCTGACCTCTTATGCTAACACACTCCCTCATGCATGTCAGAGGAGTACAGAAAGTAACTTAAAAAAAAAAAAAAAAAAAGAGTATGGCAAATTGCCTGGTAGCAAACTACCCACAATTATCTGTATTACCCAACATCCTGTGAACATCTGCTTTAAAAGTATTCTCAAGTACTTTGTCCCTGGGGCCACGTAATTCTTTTTTATAGCAATTATGCAGAACAGACCAAGATACTCTGTTAGCTTAGCACCAAATTCGTTTACCATCTCTCTGTAGTTTAAAGCAGGTTCTTCACACAGACTCTCTTCCAGGTGCACCTCTGATAAAGCTTCAAGTATCAGTAAGAGTTCAGAAGAGTAACCAGCACTTTCTGAGCTCCCCTCTTGCAGGGAAACGGGAAACCTTCCTGACTCATTGCTGTTCAGGCTCCAAGGGAAGCAGTATGCAACATGACTCAATTAAGACAGGTTTCTGTAGCCTCCCTCCCTTCACATTTGCTTTTACAAAGACCATTTCCACTGGATTGCTCAACATGCTGTACAAAGATAAGCTCCTTTTGCATTACCAGTATCCAAAGGAAAAAAAAACAACCCACAACCCAAAACCACTGAAGTAGTTACTGATCAGTGCTGACTTCCCAGATTTAGGTTAAATGAAAAATGACTGTTTATGTAGATGTTTTAATTTCAGCTCTATAAAAAAAATAGAGACAGGGATCAGATACACAGCATATCTGAATAGCGTATCTAAATTGACTTGGATTGGGTAATCCCTTGTTAGGCTTATTTTTCTCTGAAATACTCTGCATTCACATAGAAGGCTCTGAATATTGTTTTCAGTGTCTGATAAAGCCCTTAATTCCCTATCAGCAGAACCCTTAAGAAGGGCTTATCCTCCTATCTCCATTACTTTAATGTAAGCTAGGGGACTGTAGATTCCAATTTAGACAGAGTCCAAGAGAAAGCACACAGAGAACCACCCCATGCTTGTGGTTTTTCAGAGGACCAACCATATCTCCAGAGTGCGAGGAGGAGGCAACGTTTAGACCAGAGGCACGGGAAGTTCGTGTGGGCAACTCCACCACAGAGGCTCTTCCTGCTCCTTGTAACGGCCCACTATGGTCCTGGGAGACCCTTGTGTCGTGCCTGGCACCAGCACCTCCACAGGCTCTTCCTGCTCAGCTGGACAAACCTTTACTCCGAAGAACGGGGCTGTTTGCTGCTTTCTTGCAGATGGCTGTACTGCACCAGGTCTTACCAGGCACTGTAACTCTATTCATGAAGCTGTGAAGTTGTGGGCTGGCAAAGACAAACGTTTCAAATGCTGGTTTTGCACTGCACAGCTATACCAGCGCTGGTCTTACAAGCAAGACGTTGCCTGTTTTATCTTTGTCATTAAAGGCTGCAGAGTTCATTCAACGCAGACAAGCTGCTACACATACAAGAGAGGTAAAACTGCACTACGCCCGTCAATCATTCACAATGCAAATCTTTGCTTCACTTCATCTGCAATCATTTTTGCGATGGCAAGGGAGGAGGTAGCAGCAGGAGAAGGGGCATTTCTGACATGAAGAATTCTGCTTCCAATATCTCCACTCCCTCCATCGAATACAAAGTCATCCACCAAATTTCCATCACTGTCCAATGCTTGAGCTCTCACTCCGGATGGACCCCTGCAAAATATGGAGGTCACCATTAGAAAGAATGTTTTCTGAAGTCAGAAAATCAATTCTGTTCTGAGCTTGTGAAAGTGCCCAAGGAAACAGTAAGGAAGGCAGACTGTGGAGTCAAAGCCCAGTCAGGCTTTTGGGGGAGCACAGGGAAGTTTGACGTTTGTGAGGCGGAGTGGGAAATGTCTCGCAGTCGTTACGGTAAAACAAGGGCAGGTAGCCAAGCAGAGGATCTTCTGTATCTTGCCTGGTTGTGAAGTTACCCTCCTCCCCACACACACAAACATGCCTTCTCTTTTCAAAAAGGAAACCCTTTGTTTTGAAATAGCAACCCTTGTCAAACATGAATTTGGTGCCAATAGTATACTGCCTGAACTGGATAACTCCCTTTTACCATGCTTAAGCTTTTCTTATTCTGGATTTTCTCCCTGCAAATGTTTGGACAGTTAAAACCACCTCCACGTACTTAAATACCTCATCTTTCCTCACAAGTCTCTTCAGCTCCTTAGTATTTCTAAACTCCTTTGAATTAGTGTCTCTCTCCACACAGTAAGAAGCTGAACACAATTTTATTGGGATGATTAAACTAAGTCAATATTCACTCAGTAGCAACTCATAGTCTGGCTTCCCCTCTGAATTTCATTAGGGTTTTGCTTTCTTTGTGAACTCAGATTATGTTCAGGCTACTGAATGTGTCACTAGGTTAAAGGGACTTTTTCTTTTTTGTGAATATGCCACAATTGTGACTTTCAGCCTATGCAGAGTGTAGGAAGTCACACAAATATTCATCAAACTTGCCTATACACATGCAAACCCAATACAAAAGGTCTTCCTGTAGAAAGTATCTAAAGGCTTCTACGCTTTGGTAGCGTATTTTGGTGGAGGGAGTAAGCTAATGCTATGTTTGCTACTGTTAAAAATAAGAGATTTAACAAGCCACTGGGTGTTACTAACTAGAAACGTTTTCTTTACCTGAGTACATCATTGATGGTGACCTCAGGGATGAACTTCTGAAGTTGTTTCACCTGTGCGCTAAGGAAACACGCTCTGTACATTTCACTCAGTCCGTAAGACAGGTTTCTCAGCACAAGCTTCCATAACCCACTGTAGAGAGAAAAAATAACTGCAGTAAGAACGAATCTTCCATAATAAATGCAGCCACATCAACCTAATGCTGTCGAAGAAGGTAGCAAATGCAGCTGCGTGGCAAAAGTTCCCATTCCCAACATCAGTAATCCGATCATGCTTTCTACTTGAGAAATACACAGTTGTCCTTCCCTGCTTCAACAAACCTTGCTTACAGAGCTGTAGTGTTGCATTTACATTCTTTCTTTGAGAATTAACTCTGAACTCCAGTCCTTCCTATGTCCAGGATTTTTCTCTGGTCCAGTCAAATGGCAAGAGACTGAAAACCACATGCAGGAGGGAAGACAGACATGGCACTTGAGACTTTCTTCCACAATCGTTCTGAAAAGATCATTGCGCTCCTAAAACCCTCAGTTTTCAGTCAATGAATCTTGTTATGTCTCTGCAAATCTTGTTTGCTTGCTTTGCTTTCCTTAAGTCTTCCAGTATAAAAATCCAGAGACAACGATCAAGATGCTTTCAACTCTTTACTTGAATAAACTGCATTAAGTTGAGCTGTTTGCCAGAAAGCTATTTTCCAGTTCCCTGACCTGTTTTTCAGCCTCTCCTTGGATCCTCCCCAATATTTTCACATTCTTTTTCAAGTCTAATTTCTAAAATTGAGCACTTGGTAGTGGTCTGTCCAGCCCCTCATAGAGAAGCAAGATTTCTCTCGACTTCTACAGATACTCTGTTCATTTGTGTTTGCAGTTTCAGCAATGACTCCTAATTCCTCTGACATACCTTCTAAGACAGATTCCCGGCCTGCATTCGTGGCCCTTAATGTACTTCCTTGCACTTGGATTTTTTTAAACATATATTGATGGTCTGATAAAGTTTAACACAGCAATTCAGACCACTCTGTTCTCTCTTCCAAGCATCCTCTGCAGGTATTTTAATCACACTGTCTAGGTTGATTAAAATATTACACTGCATTGGACCAAAACCAATCCTGGAAGAGCTCCACTAGTAGCAACATGGCTCAGCAGTACCTTCCGACGAGCAGCCACATTCTCAGACCAGCTGAGACACGTCTTGGTAGTTTATGAAAATTCAAATATTAGATTACATCAAGTCAAATGTCTTGGAGAAGTCCACGCTTATCAGCACAACTGTCTTTAAACACACCAAAAACTTGGCAAAAGCAGGCTTTTTGACAAGAAGTTGCTTCCATGGAGTCACAAGCTGACATTTAAATAACTAAGTTCAGTAGACAAAAAGACAAGATATTACCTGTACGTTACAGCATCTAAAAAGTCTCCAGTGCTGAAGTCAAACAACTTGTAGCCCTCTCGCTTAAAGGCTAGTACTGCGTTAGGACCAAGCCAAACGCTGCCATCCATTCTTGGTGTGAAATGAAATCCCAGAAAAGGAAACCGAGGATTTGGAACCTAAAGTGGGGCACAAAAATTACTACAGTTGTTACAAACCAGATCAGAGAAACAGCCACGCAACCACTCAAGTCAAACAACTCATCCAGGACACATGGAAAACATTTGTGAGGAGGACAGTACAGACATTTACAGTTTATTGTGTGAGAGAGTGAATAAAACAAAGCAAAACACAGTAAAGGAGTTGTCCTCAATAAATGGAAAGAACTATTTTTAAATGAACAAGTGAAGAAGTAAATTTGCCATTTTCTTTCCAATCACTACAACAAAATTCGAGTCATATAACCATACACTTTGGCTCCTGCGCTGGTTTTTCTGCTTGTTAATTGTGCAGTTATAGCATGCAACTAATTTAAAACCCTGAAGAGTGAAGCAGGGCCAAGTAAGACTGCATCTGAGGTAAAAGCAAAACAAATAACAGAAAAAAAAGGTACACGTGATTTCTCTGGACATAAATCAACCCACAACAAAACCAACGACACACTAATGCCATTCATCAGTAGTACTTATACTGCAATAAAATAGGTTATAAAATATTAGGAAACCCTCACCATTCCCTATCACTCAAAACAACATGCAGTTAGCAAGCCTGATTAATGCTAATAATAAGCATCTGAAGTTTCTTTTTTGTGTGCAAATGGAATACAGAGTAATTGAGTGCGAAGACTGAAACAGAATGAGCTAAGCACACCTCTTCATGCGCTGGCACTTCAAGATCTTTAGCTATTGAGAAAAGGTGACTACAGAGGTGACTGTGTCATAGTCTGAAATTAAGCAAGTATTGGGAATTTCTCAAAAAACAGTATTGTTATGACTAAAAAGTGTTTTAAGATATGTTCCCTTTCTGTATTCAGAGCACTGATTTTCCTGTTAAAAATATGCTTTTAACACTTTCAAAGCTTAGTGCAACCACTCCCCAAACTACATTACGTTTCTGGTAACATACCACAGAGTTGCGTCATTTTCTAATCTTATTACTATATTTGGCCATTACAAAAAAATAAAATTCAAAGAGTACAGACTATCCTCACACAGCCATGGAACAAGGCTGGAAGGTATCCTCACATCCCAGCCAGTTCCTCCCATCCCAAGACAGGATCCCAAACCATTCCCAGGTGAAAAGAGGTCAGACAAACTCCCAATGCCCAGGGTTCCATAATCTCACTTGGGTGACCCGCTCCAGTGTTTAGCAGGTAACTCTAAATTCGTATTTGGAAAGGCAGTATTTCGATGTACTGCATGAATTAACTAAAATGCTGCCCTAGGAATTCTCTCTTCTTGCTTGCTAACTTCACTTTCTGCCTGGGACTGCTCTTCTTCATCACACTGTTTGTCTATATTAGATGGTAGGAAGCTTGTCCTTTTCCTCCCATCTCTCTTTTTTGTCACACGAAGTAAAGCTAATTCAAAGATGAAGTTGAAAGGCAAATATCTGAATCTGAACTTTGGGTATTAGCACACAAGATAAAACCTTACCTCCAAGTAATTTATTATTTACTGTTGGCCCTCACTGACTTCTGAATCCTGCCTATAAATTTATTTTATAACATAAAGAAAGAAGCCAGGCTTTTGTGGGCATGTGGCTATCATGCTAAATGTTTCATTCTTTCCCTTTTAAACCCAAACCCCCCCAAAACAACAACAAAAACACAAACAGAATTTCTGGCAATAACTTCCCACATGGTACTTCTACCAGTTCCTCAAGAATTAACAAAAACAAGCTGTCCTGTCAGAAAGCAACTGAATCTACATCCACATGTTGTACATCACTATCTGCAGTCTAACAACCATGCAATATTGCCCTTATTTCTGTAGTTTTAGCAGTTCTTAGAGTACACTGGGAAAGACAAACAAGAGAGAACATACCGGATAAATATTTCCTTTAACCATATAGCACTTTTCTGGTTTTAGCACCAAATAATCACCACGGAAGGGTACGATATGAGGCTCAGGGCTGCAGCCACTGATCTCAGACAGGCGGTCGGAGTAAAGTCCTGCACAGGTAACAATGTGCCGACAGTAGATTTCCTCACCCTGTGGAAAAAACAAAACAAAACACAAAACACACAAAAAAATCAACATATCTACTAAAAACCCACCCATCACCTATGAGCTTTGGAACAAAAAAAAAAAAAGAGTCAAGACTAGAAAGAAAATCAATCATATTTTCAAAAGGATGCAGAAACATTTAATTGTTTAATTTAATTCTTTATAATATTCTCCTTTAGTCCCTGGAGAACAACTATTCTAAAATGGCAATTCAGCGGGCAGGTAGGACTGGCAGAATCTTTATAGAAAAGGGGTGGGAAGGGGAAGAAAAAAAAAAAAGAATAAAAAAAGAACTCATCAATTCTCAGACTACCTTCAGGTTGAGTTCCCAGAACACAGAACCTGTTTAATATCTAAACACCTTACCATCTAAATAAATAAAATCACAAACTATTAGCTAGCTAGCTCACAGTATTTGTTTTCAAATACCACGGGGTTTTGCTTCAACTAAAAATGTTTCCATAAAAATAATAACATTTTTTAAAAATATATCAGTATTTGGTGAGAGAATCTAACAGATTTTGGAAGCTACTTTTTAATGAAAGAGCAGAAATAGAGCAAGAAAGCAGTAGCACTAACTTTAAAAGCCAGGGGGGGTGGGGGAAAATGAGGATGGGGATCTTTTTGTTTG